TTGCCTCCTTCATTTTCGGGTTTTAAATCTAAAAAATTTGTCCATGAATCCAGCTATGATGGGGCCTCAGGAACAGACAATGATAAACAGTCGTTAAAAAACCTTAGCAAGTGTCTTTCATCTTTGGCTGCTCGAAGCGTTCTCCTGATTTCAAATCGGCAGTATACTTCTTGAAAACGCTTCTTGTAAACGCCGAGCTCTCATAATCGAGGATGAATTTAAAAACACTTACTTTTGCTGATTGTTATAATAATAATGATGATGATGATGGTTTATTAAAATACACATGGTGGCATAAAAACTATGAATTACAATGTGCTTACATAAGTTACAACTAAAAATAAAATTTCATTTGTTTCAGAGGGACTGGGATTACAGGCTATTTATAAGTTATTTACAGTTCAGATATAGATAAAGGACAATACTAGAGATAACTAGACTCGTAAGATTAGTTAATTTACGCCATTGCTGGGAAAAGCTAGCGCTTTGTTCTATACTGGTAAGTGGGGCATTCAGATCGCAGGGAAGGGAGAAGGCGGTGCAGCTGGCCATCCGGGTTATTTTTGATATTGTGCCACACTTTAAGACACAGGTGGGCGCGTCTATCCTCTAAACTGGTAATGTTGGCGTGTGCAAGAGCCTGTTGATAGTGGAGGTCAGGGTATACGATTCGCAGGGCCCTCTTCCTGTATAGCTTCAAGCTGGTCAATGAGGAAGCGAGGAAGGCAAGTAGCCCAGACAACAGAAGAGTATTCAAGGACGGAGCGAACCAGGGTGCTATAGATGGTGACAAGGTCCTGAAGGTCCACTGGAGGGACCCCAGCGCGCTTCAAGACCCTGAGAATGTGCAGTCGCTTAGACGCCTTGGAAACGATTTTGTTGGTGTTATCGTTCCACTTTAGGGTGTCACACAGGGTCAGACCAAATACTTTGTAAGATGACACTGCCTCTAGAGGTAAATTATTGATGGAGAGCATTGGAGAGACAGGCTTGGTTTTGAGTGGACAAATGGTCATGATCTT